TCTTAATACACATTTAGTACTTTCCTTGTGTTAATCTGGAAGTAGATCAAAGAAAGGTCCAGAAATTTAGGCTGTCTCCTCTCTTACTGGGCTTTCACTTGGGTTTGGGGATTACGAGGGATGATGGCTGAAAACGTTCATTGTTTTAAAATCTTATATTTATTCTTTGCAGCCTTTGGAAAAGAAGTTTGTGCGTGTTTCAGGAGAGGCAACAATTGGACATGTAGAGAAATTCCTCAGAAGAAAAATGGATCTGGATCCTACTTGTCAGGTATGTCACTTGTAGTAGCACTCACAAGCTCACTGTGATCAATGTGATGCCTGTGCTTCAGACAGAGCATTTCCATTATTCATTAGATTCTAGGAGTAATGGTGGGTTTTCTTAATGCAGTAAGGATTAAAAAATGTTTGAAAGGTTGTGATCCACAAGGTACAACTCTGCCAACTAATTTGCAATGTATTTAAATTATCATTATAAAACTTTATTATTTGTATAGAGTTTCTAAAGTTCCATGTAAGAGTTCAGCAGATGAAATTCGAATCCAAAATATACTGCTATTTCAAAGATAAAACTAAGTATATAGGCAGGAAAGTGTGGGAGGATATGAATGCAGAGACAGGTAGGAGCTGAATAACAGTAACATTTAACTGAAAGGTATAAAAGCAAGCCAAGGCTAAGAGAGAATGATACTGTGAATGGATGTGTTTAAATTAAAGGTATGAATGCAAATGTAGGCACATGCCTCCAAATAAGAATTCAAAGGAGCAGAACATTTCTCAACCATTTTGACAGAAGTTGCATGTCAAAACCAGTCATCAATTCTTCAATATATTTCAGCAACCGTACAGCTGAGAAGGTGCATGAGTTCCATAAAATGTAACAATTCTTAAAGCTGTCCATTATTGCTATATCAAGCTGATACTGATGTGAGTAGGCAAATGGTGGAAATTAACTGCTGACTTTGGAGTCAAGGCTGGTTTTATACAGCAGTAGCTTTCAGAGACAATACAGCATGACTTTGTGCCTCAGTGATGAGTATTTATTCATTCTGCTTTCTTTTTCAGTGATGACAAAGCAAATCAGATATAAATTATTCATTGTTGTGAAGAAGTGATATGTTTTCATTTGCTGGTTTCCTCTTGGTGAGAGCCTCTGTACTTTGAGGTGGTGGTGACTTGATATTCTGAATTAACAAAAGAACCTCAAAATGAGGCTAGAGAAACTTCTTGTCTTTATTGAGTTATTTGAGGGGAAGGAATTGGTTTTCTTTAGTACATCAGAATTGCCATTTTCAGGAACACTAAGCATCCATAATGGAAACTGCAGTTATCCATCTTCCAAAATCAATCTTGGCCTGTGTGTTGGGTGTCTTTCAAATTTAGCAATCTTGAGATCATCTAATAGAAAAAAAAACTAGGAATTTTTTCCCCCAATAGTTACTTTCTACTTGGACTTAACCAGGTAGGACATGGTGCACTGTTAGTGAGTAAATGTTATTGTATCTCAAAAGCTGATGATTTCGTAGACTTCCTTTGTCAAGATGTTGCTTGATGCTGACTCAATCACTTTTATCTCTACTAGTATCCAATTTGCTGTTCTGGAGTAAGGCAAAAGCATTGCCATGTCCTAATCTCTTGGTCTTTTCTGTGCTAGCTCTGCCTGTCTGGAGAAAATGTGAAATCTGCTTTCTTCTACAGTCAGATCCTGTGTCTATTTTTTTTTAACTGATCTGCTCCCACTTTTTTTCAATTAGTATTTTCTTGGTCATTGGTAACCTGTAGTTGATTTTGATGCCACAAATCATGACTGATTGAGTGAATATATTCAGGCTTATTTTTAAAAGATTAGGGAAGCAAAGTAGAAAGCATTTTTCCATATCCTGAGAGGTAATTTTTTTGTCATATGGGGAGTTAAGATTAAAGGAGTGTGTGTACTGAGCTGTCACCTTGTCCTTGTAGTATGCAAAACTGAAGTTGATGGTTTGTTGGTAAAGAGAGAGAAATGTCAGAGATGTCATTGAAGATTAATAAGCCTGGTAAATCATCCTTAGTCCAGCTTCACAGGAAAATAAAATAAAATTAAAAAATAAAACAAACTGAAAAACAACATTAGGGAGAATCTGAATATAAAATAGCACAGGCAGAATTTAAGAAAATAGGTTGTAAACCATATATGCAAATAATATAAATGTAGAGAGTACTTGGCTGCTTTTTTAGTTGGCTGTAGATATTTGGAGGAGAGTTGAGGACTGCAGTGGTTCATTTCCTGTAGGCTTTCCTGTAGGTATGTTAAAGGAGAGATAGATACTATTGCTTTTTAACTCTCTCCAGTTCTTCGTGACTTAAAATAATAAATTTTTCATATAAAATGTGACTAGTTTGATGCATTCAACTTGAGACTAGAGTCAAAGATTTATTTCAGAAATGTACATTTCAGGCACTATTGAGCTGAAATGCACTGGATTCACAGTATTTTTCCCTGCAATTATCTGCAGAAAACTTAGTGTATTTTTTTACCTTTCCTGTGACTCAAAGATTTGACTATAAGAAGGGCACACAGTCTTTCCTCCTTTCACTCCTCAGTAAAACAATTGCATCCTTGGTTTGGCTGTTAAAACTTCTAGTAAGATGTGGTTATTTTGTGAATGCAATCAGTTTACTACTGAATATGAGCTTAGTTTGGCAGTCTGCAAAAGTCTTATTTGAGATGTTTTACTTGTTCCTTGTTACAGCTGATTCAGTGACTGAGTGATAGAGAGCTTGTTTGCCCGTTCTCCTGAACTGACTGTACTTGAATCTCTTTGACGTAATTTGTTCATGTGGAATATTAGCTAATATTTGCCCTTCTTCATTGACCTACAGAAGTGGGTTGGATTGAGGTTAATGAAATAAGCCATCCAACTCATGTGCATATATGCAAGTCTAAAAAGTAGTTTTAAAGCCACTGCCTCTTTTTTTCCTAGTCTGAGGCCTCTAATTATTTTTAGGTTTCTGTATTTGAGTTTACAAATAGATTATGATTCAGATTCCCTAGTTTATCTGAAAGATTAATTTATTTTTATCTACCTCTTGAGCTGACAGACTGTAGTTGACTCTTTTTGGTGCTTTATTTTGATCTCTATGCTTTGGGCAAAGATTAATTTTCTGTACATGTTTATATATATTTCTAATTACAAGTTCTTTAATATTCTAGCTGGAATTTTTTGGAGGGGTGGTTTGTGTAAATAATTTTGAGCAACTGGAATAGCTGGTAAATTCTAAGTAGGTAACATTAAATTTGAGCTGAATACAGGCCATGGTGTTTGGAATCCACTAGGTACTTGGCTTCAATATCTGATGCACATCTGCACAGTTGGTGTTCTGTTGAAGAGTGGACAGAAAATGAGAAGCTTTCATTGAACTGTTATTTCCTTCGAGATCATCCTGCAGCAACATTGTCCTTTCTTGCCATTCATTCAGTAAGTACAGGAGAGGATTGCTGAAAGCCTTGCTGCTCAGTTGGTGTGAATGTATTCATGTAGCTTACAGAATAGAAATGTTCCAAAATCAGGTGTGTGTTCCTGAAAGTTACGTGTGTGAGCTTCAACCTGGGGGGAAAGACTGGGAGAAAGTCTGTGATTATGCAGTGTAGTCACTGGTTGTGTTTCTTCATCCTTAGGCCCAGAAGTAGAAGTAGCTCTTACCTTTGAAGAGTAAATAGCAGCTAGAGGAAATGGAAGGCTTTGCCAGCTTTTTTAATAAGTAGCCCAGATACTCATGTCAATCTCTAAAGCTTTTTGTTTTCCTTGTCCTTCCCTGGATAGTATGGATTGGTGTATAAACTGTTGATTGAGGTCTGCTGTTTTCTGGGCCAAATTCTCCCTTGGGATGAATCTTATGTGAGATGTGCTTTACATTAAATTTTTCCATCTTTGTCTTCTTGGTGAGTAATATTTTGTAGTTGTCCATTATCATGGCTTTTAGAGAAATAGCTCTAATAGTAAACATGCCAGGCTAGGTTATTTCAATACGAATCTTAACAGAAGTAACTGAGGATTAAGTAGCTACATCTTTGTGTTTCCTTTCAGCAAAAGGTCAAACTGGATTTATTGTTGTATCATGAGCTATCAGTAGCAGCTCACTTCAGTTTTACCATTCAGTGAAATTTAGTTAATTCACAGCACTTGTGCTGCTGGTGCTTCTTTTGTAATGGAGTATATTCATTCCTGTGTGACACAAGGATTCCTTTGAGACACAATTTGCAACTGATTTGCACACTCAACTGGGATTTTTTTCACTGTATGTTTTATTTTCTAGTCCTCATAGAATGAGTCCTAGCATAACAATTAGCAGAAATTCAGGCTTTTGTGCTGGAATGAGGAGTTTAGGCATTTGATATTCAGAGCACTCTATCACAGAAATGTAAAATACTCTTCTGCATTTATTAGAAGACACTGGATCTTTAATGACTGCCATTTGAAACTGGAACAGCAGGATCAACAGTAGGATATTTTCAAATGAGCATTCTGATACTGTTTTGTCAGCAGTGGTCGCTATGTCTGATTCCATCCCATATTGGTCAGATAAGTTAGGTTCTCTATTTCTGTAGAAAATACAAAATGTGTATGTATATATGTTTTAGTGGAAGCAGGGTTGAGTTTTCAGTGCCTTTGGTATAAAAAATATGAAAGTAAGCTTATGAGTTTAATTACTTTCTTTATATATCACTGGAAGGCAAAGCAGACAAGTCTGTCTTCCTGCAGTAAGAACAGTAGACTCTTAAATGTATGGGGAACAGCAGAAATGTCTGTCACCAGCTTTCAAAAAGAAAATATATACATGCATCCATATCTCATAAATGTTTAATGTTATGTCCAGATTAGGTTTTACTTGCTAGTTTCCACCTAGAGGCTAAAAGCAGAGATAATAATAAGCAGGTTACATCTTCTGCACATTAAAATTCAACCGAACCTGAATGCAGTATTTTACATTTTTCTTCTACTACACAGATGAGGAAGTAAAGTAAATTAGACCTTTCTGAGCCTCTAAGGAGTAGAATTCCTGTGTTCTTGATTCTCAGAATAGTGCAGTCTGCCAGCACGAGGCATAAATCTTCCTAAATCTTTTCATGAAGAATAGGAGATAGTGTGTCAGCATGCAGAAGAGCATAAATCCAGGGGAGGAGAAGAGCTGAAGCACAGAGTGCATCCTCTAGTGGGACGCGGCCAAGTAAGAGAATACATAATGATACTGCAGCATGATCCTCAACTACTGCAGTGGCAGAGCCTAGACCTTTTCCTTGCAGAAAGCTGTGGGACAGCTCATTGTCCATGCTCTTAACTTTAATTTTGAGGTTTCATCCTTCTAATTCACAGTTGAGAACCTTCTCATTTCCATATCTAGAAATTACTCAGAAAGAAAATTTAACAAAGCTGCAGTTGAGAGAGAGACAGTACTGTGTCAGCTGCTCTAATTTGGGGTGTTAGAGTCTGAATTTACATTATGTACAGTAAATTCATAGTAACTTCATAAAGAAGCTTATTTTTCATAATAGTCAAGGCAAAGAATTCAGAAGACTTCATTTTTATTTTTTTTTCCCCAAAATTACTGGGTTTGTGAGCAGTCACTTAAAAGTGGCTCCTTGGGAATTGCAGACATCATTAACATAGTTTAGCTCCAGTAGAGGACATCGCTTAGAATTGCTGAGCATGCCCGTCACTTGTATCACAGAAATACTGATTGTGTTTTGAAGCAGGGCTGTGTGAAGTAACTGCTGACAGTGGCATACACTGAGCTGTTCTTTTCTATTAAAACACTTTTTTTTTTTCCAAACACAGAATCACAGAATCTTGGAAGGGACCTTGAAAGATCATCTAGTCCAACACCCCTGCCAGAGCAGCATCACCTAGAGCACATCACACAGGAATTTGTCCAGGCAGGTTTTGAATGTCTCCAGTGAAGGAGACTCCACAACCTCTCTGGGCAGCCTGTTCCAGTGCTCTGTCACTCTCACAGTAAAGAAGTTTTTTCTGATGTTTACATGGAACCTCCTGTGTTCCAGTTTGCATCCATTGCCCCTTGTATTATCACTGGACATCGCTGACAAAAGCCTGGCTCTGTCATCCAGACACTCACCCTTAACATATTTGATGAGGCTGCCCCTCAGTCTCCTCTTTTCAAAGCTAAAGAGACCCAGCTCCCTCAGCCTTTCCTCGTAAGGGAGATGTTCCACTCTTTCAAGCAGTTCCCTGTCCTTCTTGAACTGAGGGGCCCAGAACTGGACACAGTATTACAGCTGTGGCCTCACCAAGACAGAATAGAGGGGGAGGAGAACCTCCCTTGACCTACTAACCACATCCTTTCTAATGCACCCCAGGATGCCATTGGCCTTCTTGGCCACAAAGGCACATTGCTGGCTCATGGTCATCCTCCTGTCCACCAGGACCCCCAGGTCCCTTTACCCTACACTGCTCTCCAGCAGGTCAGCCCCCAACCTGTACTGGTACATGGGGTTGTTCTTCCCAGATGCAAGACTCTACACTTGCCCTTGTTGAATTTCATGAAGTTTCTCCCCACCCAACTCTCCAGCCTGTCTAGGTCTCACTGAATGGTAGCACAGCCTTCTAGTGTGATAGCCACGCCTCCCAGTTTAGTGTCATCAGCAAACTTGCTGAGGGCACACTCTGTTCCCTCATCCAGGTTGTTGATGAAAATATTGAACACAACCAGTCCCGGTACCAACCCCTGAGGGACTCCACTGGTCACAGACCTCCAACTAGATTTTGTCCCATTGACCGCAACTCTCTTGACTACTTCCTTTCAACCAGTTCAAACAGACATAACATGCACACTTATTCACATGTTTTCTCACTCAGGTTATGAGTGAGGATAGTGTTGGCTTGTTTTCTGTCAGTGATACAAACGACTTGCCCTCTTTTGCAGTTGATTAATGAAACTGGGTGTTTGTGGGATCATTGTAGTACATTAACTGTGAGTGGTGTTCCACAGGGCTTTGCTAGTCCCAAGCTAGGTTGAACTTGACCGTGTTTGTATTTTTTTTTTCACAGATAGACATAATATGTGGTGATCACCTGCTTGAACACTACCAGACACTGAGGGAAATTCGTCAAGCCATAGGAGACAGTGCAGTACAGGTATGTACTGGGCTGGTGCTTTGTTCCAGGTTTTTTATTTTATAACATTAGACTTCTCGTGCAAAATCTATTTTATATTATAAATAGAGTTGAGAAGTATGCTGCGCGCTAAGAATGTGCGTGATGGTTTCACAGAATCATAGAATGTTAGGGGTTGGAAGGGACCTCAAAAGATGATCCAGTCCAACCCCCCTGCCAGAGTAGGATCCTCTAGTGTAGGTCACACAGGAACATGTTCAGGTGGATTTGGAATGTCTGCAGAGAAGGGCACTCTACAGCCTCTCTGGGCAGCCTGTTCCAGTGCTCTGTCACCCTTACAGAGAAAAAGGGTTTCCTCATGTTTACATGGAACCTCCTGTGTTCTAGCTTGCACCTGTTGCCCCTTGTCCTATCATTGGACATCACTGAGAAGAACCTGGCTCCATCCTTCTGACATTCACCCTTTGCATATTTAAAAACATTAATGAGGTCACCCCTCAGACTATAAAGTAGTAGCAAATTCTGCTTTCTTTACTTGTTTGTGCACACACTTGCATGAGCTTTTCTATTTTAATTTCCTGCTGAGCCTTTTCACACTACTCGAGGGCTTCTGTGTCAGGGGCAAGAAGTGGAAAGCTGTTTTTAAGGTATCTTGGACATTGTATCACCTGTACCTGATTTCAGTAACTAGGAGGGATCCCACAGTCAGGGGAGACATATGTGGCTTTTGGTAGGGTTGACAGACATTAAAATTCTTTGACGCATATGGTGTATACCTCAGCTTCTGCAGCCAAAGGGAATAAATTGCCATACTTGATGTCTTAGCTGTTTATATAATATGAAGAAAAATTAAAATGTAACCTGACCTGCTTTGGGTAGCACAAAAGCTTTTAATGTATGAAAAGTGCTTTTGGGGAAGCACTCTAAGGAAGACTTAATCTGTTCCATTTCTTGTCCACAATTGATGTGCCTGATTGATGTTGAGTGGCCAAGTACCAGTCAGCAGCTTCACAAAGAGAACAGTCATCTCAGGATAGGTTCTCCAGTGATGTTTAAAGTCTCATTATCATAAAATTAGTATGCCAATGATTAATTCTTGTAAGCCTGCTCTATTGGACAAGCAAACAGAAGATGATCTTTCCTTTTTGTGAAGTCTTGTGCTTTCAATAGTCAATTTTGCCAAGGAATTTGAAAGATCAGTTTCATCCTTAGTTTTTCTTCATTTTGTTACAAAACCTCTTAGGATGCCAAGTAGTTACAGTAGGAACTTTGTAAATAAATCACCATTGCCTTTGTTCTGGTATTGAAATAATTGTGACATTTATATGCTTTATAGTCTCACGTTCTATTATTTTGCAGAAATGAAGAGTGCATTTCTAGGATTGAAAAGCCTTGGAAAATTAAATTATCCAGAAAGAAAAAAAATATAGGTCAAGTCTAAAAATTGTAAGGGTTGTTTCTTTTTTTACCGAGACCTTAAATTTTATGAGGGACATAATTGTTCCAGCCCAGTGAGACTACAACTGCCAAGGAACATTTAATGGGTTTTACATTCAGTTCCAGGGGCATCTTGAGCCTTCATTAATCTTCCAGCCTTTCCAGACCAGTGCTGGAGCTTGGAAGGCCCCTAACAGCACCCACTAGGATGCTGAAATGCTCTTCAAAACTGCTTTTGCCATCTAAATTCAGGTTCATTATGTATTCTTTATGTGAAGAAAATAAGTTCAGTAGCTACTTATGTAATACAAAATAAAGAAATAAACATTGGGTTCTTCAGTTTTTTTAGACCAGTTAGAGGAGAAACATAACTGCTCTTCTGAATTGCATTTTTCACTTGCAAGTTCATTAATACCAGCAGTTACTCTTTTTGCTGAGAAAAGTGATTTTAAAATGGCAGCTAAATTTCTCTTTGCCAAAGGCATTAATTTCAACACACATTCTTTGGCAGCGTTTACATTGGAAGCTTCTTCCAACACAATCCAGCATAACATATACTTTGTGTGATTTTTTTTATTTTTTTTTCTGGGCCATAATCACAGTAACTTTTTAGGGGCTTTTACTTCTGAATGGTCCTTAAATGCTCAAGATTTTTTAGTGAAGATTTTAGGTGTTATGGGCTTTTTTTTTCTACTAAGTAACAATGAGAGCCTCAGTAAATCAAACTCTCCTATAGCTGCAAGCTAGCAGGGTTTTACCTGTTAATAATAACTGCTTAGATCAAGTGGGATCTGATGGTAAAATAAATATTTGCAATGCTGGCCTCATAGAAATTTACTTTAAGTGGAGTAAATAGGTAACTAATTTTAGTGGTTGAATGTAAGCAATTAACATGTTAGTTCCTGAGTAGTTGATAGTAGGCTAAAAAAACTAATATCAGCACTAAGTCTTAATCTTGTAGGTCTCAAGGTACTGTAATGTTTCTGAAATTGTGTGGATGGTTGATTCCTTCTAATTGGCTGGAGATAGGCTTTCTAGCTCTGTTTAGGGCAAAAACATTAAATTTCTGCACAGAATTTAAATAAAAAGCAGCAACTTTGCTTAATTTTTAAAACTGTGTAAAACTTGTGGAATTTACTGTAAGGAGAGAAATTTTTAAAAGGCTCTGTTTTGTTACCAGACATCAAGATCTGCCTATAATTAAGTTTGATCAAGCAGCCGAGGACGGAAGATTGTAATTAACTATATGGGAATATAATTTCTTCCTTGTATTACTTTCTTCCCCTCTGCTGTGCAAATGCAACATGATCTAAGCTGCTAGTTATTTTTACTTGTCTGAAATTGGCCTTCGCAGAGCTCTGCATCACTGATGGATATAATGAGCTCACACATGGGAAAAGCTAAACAGAGTAGCTTCCTTTATGTCCCTAGCCCTTGGCACAGAGGTCTTGCATATTATAATGGTCTCTTTGTGACTCTCACCTTTTTGTAACCCAGTCCTGTTGTATTTTTCTGGTCTCTCCTGAGCTAGGCAGTAAGAGCTGCCATCTAACTTAATTGCTCTGACCTAGCACACATCCACAGTCAAAGTGCTTTACTGTTGAATTTGTAAAGTTGGGCACTTTATGTTGTTGCTATTCTTATAACATAAAAGGTATATATACTATGATGTTTCTGTCTGTCAGTTCCACTTTGAAGTTTATAGCTGGGTGTAACAGGTGGAATCCTTTCAATTTTTTTAGGTCAAGGTCACAAGTATGTGGTAAAAAACAGTGGAGAGTTTTGCTGTAAAAAGGGTTCATATTTTCTTTTGCTTTTCTTTTGGGCATGCCTGAGTCAGCCTGATTTGAGATTTGTAATAAGCAGTGCGAGCTCATTCTCTGTTTGGATTTCCTTTTAAGAACAGTATCCAGAGAAATCAGCTGAACACATACAAAAATTAATAATACTTGAAAATTTAATAATTACAGAGTAAGCAGTGCCAGCGTTGGGTTAACTCTCAGCTGTTCAATGAAGAGAAGGAATTGCAGTGGGTTTGGTCTTTGGTTTAACACGGATATTTCCTGTGCAGGTAGATAATTTCTTTAAAGTCCTACTGCCAAATGTACCATTTGAAAACTCATTCCTGAAAGAATACATTTTCTGTAGCATGGATCTCAAAAAAAGGAAGCTTGAGTATGTCTTATTTTCTCTATTGAAGCAGCTAACAGGTACAAGGAGTAAGTAAACCTTTGTGAAGGTGTAACAGCATACTGTGTGCCAAGAGGTTCATAAGTAACTTCATAGTACGTGTTCAAACTAACAAGAAGTGAGGACAATCAGGAGCTGTCGTCATAGAAAATAACTTCTCTTCCTATAAGCATTTTAATATGTTGTCCTTCTTTTCCAACATGAGCCTTCTATTTGGTTTTAACAGTTCTTAGAAAAATTACTGGATCCACTTCTCTCAGTGCTTGCATTTTCATCCCTTTTTTCAGGTCTTCAATCAGATCTTATGACTGACATCACCATGTCCAGTGAAGCATTTGAATTTTATTACCTTTATATTTGACTTGTGGATGCAGAAGTTTGTAGTTTCAGAAGTGACAAGTTCATAGAATAGAAGTAATCAGAAGACTCTTGATACAAAGTTACTTAGACTTAGGGTTCAAGGATTTCCCAAGAAGACTTTTGAAATTGGAAAATTATATTGAGAGGTAGCATACTTGCTCTTTTCATGTGTATTTATCTAGGCTTTCATCCTGGGGCTAGGTAGTCCTTTGGTTTGCCCTCATATATGGCCACTCCTAGGACTTTACTACTTTTTTTTCTGACTCCTTTTTTGGTGTTCTCTTATTTTGACTTGGAATACTAATCTTGTTTTTAAGTAAACGACTAAATCTGTAACCAGAATCAGAGTTTCAGGTCTTAATAAATGAGCCCATTGGCTAAACTGATCAAAGTATTGCCATTGCAGATCTGTTCCCCTTTGTTATAAATCTATAACATTTGAAAATTCCCAATAGTTTGTCCACTTTCTTTTTCCCTTGAAAATAACATTGCTGCACTACTTTTTTTTTCCCTCCCTAGAACACTGGCTTTGTTTCTGGTGGCAACTTGGGTGCCAGACAAAGAAACTTGGAAGTAGAAGAGAGATTAAAATACACATTAGCAATTAGGGTTGTTTTCTGCTGTGGAGGAGCTTTGTGGCACTAAAGGCAAAACGTCTTTTTCTAATAAGAGGTCATCTTCCAGACAGAAGATAAAGGTGTTGATAGGCACTTTATGAAAAGAATTCCCAAGGGAGGAAAAAGAGTATGTTATGGAGGTGTGGAAAAACTGTGTCTTTTTGAGACCAATTTCTTAATTTTAAATTTTCTCCAATAAAAAATGGGTTAGATTTTTTTAAGTAGTTGAGGCTACACCAACAAGTCAACAGCATTTTTGCATAGATAATACATTACTGTTAAAAAAAGAATTTTTCCAAAGCACTGTGTTTACACTAATATAGTACTTTTACTGTTTCAGTATTATAATACAGAACCTATATAGTGGTGACAGTCTTGTTAGTTGTTTTTTTTTTGTAACTAATTTTCATTAAAAGTTTTGGTTTTTTATATATGCTGATATGCCCCCTCACACAGAACTGTGTAACTTCTCTGGAACTTAAATTGTCTTAGGTCCTGTATGTTAAAAGACAAAAACATCAGAAGCAAAATATGGTAGAAGTTCTAAACTGTCAGTTGTGATTAGTTTAGTTCTCTCTTTAAAAGAAAACTTGAAGTCTGTCCCTATAAGTAGATCTAATACAAGTAGTCACATTCCCAGTGGATCAAAGGTAGAAGCAGACTGATGCAAAACCTTTCATCTGTGTGTGAATTGCGTGACATAAGTAAGAGTAATGAGTTGGGAAGTGTCCTGTTTCACAGGTGAAAGATTTTCTTTTATAATGTGGGGCAGTATCAGGAATATGACTTAAAAAATAGGGTGGTTTTTTTTTTATCCCTTGCATTCATTACTTAATAAATGTGTAGTAGTAGTCTGAACTCTTCCAGTGCAGCTTTTGGCAGCACCTTCTAGAACTACTTAATTGATTACTTTTTTTTCTGCCACACAGCATCGTGTGGAAAGCAGCATGTGTTGTAAATGAGAGACTATTGCATGACAATGAGATAGTTCCATTATAACTTCAAAATAAAACCAAAGTACCAGGTTTTACGTTTTTTTAAACAAAACAAAACCCTTCTCCATCTCAAAAAGGAGAGAGGAATATAATTATTAGCCTTTGTATTTCAAAACTGGCAAGGAACATGGTATAAAATGGTGAGTGACATTGACACAGAGGTTCTGCCACATTGCAGTGTCTGTCATACCAGCTGGTGACAAAAAGTCTCATGAAGAAGGTGGTGTGATGATACAGTTTTTTTCTCTTCTCTCTAGGATGGTTTACTTGTACTGCACTATGGCCTGGTGGTATCTCCACTAAATGTTACTTAAAGATAGCTGGAATATCAGAAGGCAAAAGAATCTGAAGTCATCAGGCTTCTTCACTGCTGTTTTTCACCAAAGAAGGCCCTCATATTTCCTGTGACAGGAAGCAAGTAAAAGGAACCACCACTAACTGCTGTATGCTTGCAATTTAACGTCTGACTTTACCACTGTAAAAAATTACAGCTTCTGTAAGTACAGCTAGAGATGTGGCTATGCTTTATGTCACAAATTACTGTCTTCGAATTTCACTCAGCTCAGGGAATTTCAATGCTCAGAGTAGCTGCATTTTTTTACTTTCTTGTGGTTTAACAAGGTCTCACAAGCTGAACAGCCTTTTTTTTCCTCTAAGCTATGAGATACTGCTTTCTAAGTGTCTAGCTAGAACAGTGCTCTCAGGGATGATCTTCAGTGGGCAGTAAAATTTATTCTGGGGAGGAGACAGTAATTTGCCTAAAAGTGTACTGTGATCATCTGTCTTCAGAAGTGATTCAGGTAGAGGAAGGGAACTTAAGAAATGCAGACCAAAATAGGTAGAAAATGGCATATCATAAGCATTGTATTTGAGAAGTAGCATTAAGTTTAGTTGTTTTTCTTGAAGAAAGACAATTTTATTTGCACTGGAAACATTTTTACTGGTAGTTTGGCTTATACCAAATGGTGGATCATACATCTCTAGTCTTAATGGAGATGAGCTGGCTGTAAGCTGGTTGAACTATGCATGAAAAAAAAAAAAGTAGCACCCCTTTGTACCTGCTTGTTGTATGTAAAATAATCACTGTCAGCCTGATTCTGCTGTCATGTAAAATCTGTCAGCTGGCTTGACTGGCTGTCCTGGTTTGAGCCAGAACGAAGCAGAAATCCTTCCACTTTAACACTTTCTAGCAGCAGTGAAAATGGTAGCTTTTTCCACTCTTTCTAATGTGTACTAGTGCATTGTAGAGGAGACCAGGGTTGAGTAATTTAATACTTGCCTACCAGATTCAACAGAGGATGAGGTAACTTTAATTTTAACATATTAAAATTCTAGGTTTTGAGACAACTGTAATACTTCAAAGTGTTTGTTTCAAGATTTCTGTGGTCTCTTGCACAGCATTAAGGACCAGAGCTTTGTGTATTGTGGCCTTGCTGCATACTAGGTCATCAGTGTGGGGATTTATGAAAGTTGCCATTCCTTTACATGAGGCTCCCTCCCTTCCTAACTAAAGTCAGTGTAGGAAGAGGGAGGAGATGCCTCTGTAAGGCATTTCAGAGCACTTAAGTTAGCTGAAATGCACTTGCTTGTTGTCAACCTAAGAGGACTGACATCCTTTGTCTAAAGAAAGCTTTCATGAATCCTTCCTCAGGTCTTTACAATAAATGTTCCGTTTTGTCAGTGAGGATGACACCATAAGAAAAATGTCTTGTTTGAAGTAATTCTTGTGATGCTTCTAAAAAACATAACAAACATTTCTAGCTACAAATTACTATTTTACCTTTAAAGTTTGTATAAAAGTAGTGTTTAAAATGCAGCAGAAAATGATATTTTCTAAACACTTTGTGAGTTGTGTTGATAAGAGATTATATATTGTAACAGGAAAATAAACTTTATTTTAGCCAATTTGAAATTGAGCTGTCATATTTTCATACTGTGCTCCCTGTGTCAGCCTCAAATTACAGCAGTTGATGTTGAAACTGCTGGATGTGCTCTGGGGTTATTAGAATTACAGATTTCAATTAGAAGGTTGAATGGTGAAGGGGAGTTTAGTACCAGAATTTCTACTGTAACTAACTGCAGTATTGTTCGCTGGAATAACACGGTATTTCTAGAACTCTCATGTTTTTTTAATGGAGATTTCAGTAAAGAGGTCAAGATGATTTTTCAACATAGATACAGGAAAAATAATCCTTTGTAGTTACAAGACCATCTTTTTCCTCAATATGTACATCATTTTGTGAAAACCACCTCTAGATTAGTTTTGTTTGTTTATGGCTGTTGTTACCAATTCCCCTGTGAAATGGATCTTTCTTCATCCTTTCAGTAGTTTAATGACCATTGAAGATTTAATGTATTTCTGTTGCTTGTGGTATTTTGGTATGAATGCTTAGTGACCTCTTCTTTCCCATTTGTCTGCTTCTTTCTTTATTTCTTCCTCATTTGCCTTTAGAAAGCATATTCTTAGCTTAGTTTTCTGGGTTGAACATCCTGCTTTCTTTCACCTTAAAGCATTCCCTGAAGGCACAGATTCATTATCTGCTTCTGTGCCTGCAGTACCCCCCGGGGCTCTGCTGGGCACATCAGCGTGCAGCAGGGGTGACCTTTGGCTATTGCCAGGCTGATCTGTGGGCCGTGCAGTTTCCTGTGTAAAGGTAATCAGTCTGCTTGCTCCAATCTCCTCTCAGCTCTCCTGCTGCTGTTTTATTTCTGTTGGTCTCTTTTTAACCTTGGCTTTCCTCCAGTTGCTTTTGGTCCTGATGATAGGAAGAGCTTCTGTAACAACAGCCTGTCTATGAGATGGCATCTCTGCCCTCTTGGGAGGTGAGCCAGCATCATGCTCTGGAAGTGAGGGAAGGTGTGCTTGGACTCATTCCTTATTTTACAGACATTATTGTTTCCTCATTGGATGAAATAACTCTGGTTTTACTTTCTGCTTACCTTTTTAGCAATGTCATGGCTAACACAGATCCTAATTAAATACTACTTGTACTGCAGCATAGTTCTGAGGTACTTTAAAGATCTGCTAATTCCCAGCAAGAGAGAATGCTGAGCCCTAGTGTGAGGAGAATGCAGAGTCAAGCTACAATCCAGTCATGAGCATTGAGTCATGTTGTTTAGGTTCTGCCTGTTTTCTTTGTGTTTAATGCAGATTTAGTGTCATAAGGGAGACAAGGTTCAAGAGATTAATGAATGTGCAGCTGAGCCCTCTAAATGGAGGGGCACTGTGATGGGAATATATAACCATAATTTTTGTTCTGAACACCACTATTGCACCCAGCCCTCATCTGCCTTGCCTCCAGACTGTATCATACATGAGCCAGGAGAACCCTTAACCATTATTTCCATAGATGTAGAACAACCAATGAGTTCTACCGAAAAATCATTCAAGTTTGTCTAATGCTAGTCTGCATTGAATTTCTTTTCAAGGAATCATCAGGCATTTATGTGCAATGATTTATGTTAATGCATGTTAGTAGCCACTAAAAATTTAAAAATATATCCCTAGCATTTCTGTTTTCATTTTTCTTCAGCATGGAATGTCATTATCTGTGCTCTATACAAATCAGGAGGGTTCACTCCAGCAGTTGAGAGAGAATCTATTAGCAGAGGCATGGGAGTTTTGATGTATTACATCCCTTTCTTTTACAGGGAGATGGCCAAGTTGTTGACATGAATCTTGTAACATGCTGCATACTCAATAGAGTACACCAGCTGCCACCTTGAATGTTGAGGTGCTTTAAAATGTATTTGTTCTGCTGTGATAGATACTTGCTGAGAGATGGAGAGAATGGTGCAAATGGCACATTCTCATCACTTTGCTTTTTTTAATACTTTTTTCCCCCCTGTAGCCCTAACTAGTTCAGCACAAAGAGAAGAAGCAAGGTGATCGTAAGTTGAATTTTACTTATGCCATCTTAAGCGCCCCTTGCTGAATGAGCCAACAGATATTTGCGTTTGCTGAGGTTTTGAAAAGTTGCCATAGGTACAGATCTAATCACTGAACAGGTCAAATTTTATTGTTTTTGAGAGATAAATGGCTATCCCATCTGAGTTGAAATACAGTATTGATTGGCTGCTGAGCAGCTGTGAAATTCTTGCTGGAGCTCTATCAACATCTTTACTGGATTTTGGTTTAATAGAACAAAAATACGTTTGTGCCAAAGCAACAGATCTGCAAAAACAATATTTCCCAAAGTTGAAATGACAGCTTATATTTTCTCACTGGTTGGTGGAATAGTCTATTTGGAAATGAAATCTTAAAATGTCTGTTTTCTTCCAAGAGTAACATTAACAGTAGAAAAGTGGGTGGTGGGGACTTGGCAGAGATTGAGAAAAATTGTGTTTTGACAGAGCTGCTTTGGAGTCCTTTTCATATGGTGCTGGGAGGCAAGCAGTCATTCCAAGATAGCTGCACTGCTTGCAGCTTGCTCTGCTGTAGCTTGTGGTGACAGCAGCAGTTCTGTTATCTGGTGGACCAGCATGTCCTTTTGCATATGTATTTGGGACAGAAAGGTAAGAACTCACAGGGTGAGAAGCTCAGGACCTTTCACAAGAACCTGCAGTCTCCTTTTACTTCCTTGTGGGACATGGGAAAATATTTCAGCTATTTGTTGCAATAAAATAGCAGATTATTTCTGTGACACAACATACAGACCTTCCTCTGTGTAAGCAGGTAAGACAAATGCAGGGATATCTGCATTCTTTTTTCAGCTCTGTTATTGACTTGCTGTATGACCTTGAGCCAAGTTCTTAACTTCCCAAATCTGTTCATCTACAGCAATAGCTTCTGTTAAGTGATCTGTGTGTAGACTCCACAGTACTATTCCATGTGTGAGGGCAAGCAATTAAGGCTGCTTTTGAGATCCCCTTTATTAGTGCAGGTATAACAGGACTGGTAACACTATCTGTTACTAAAGCAACCAAGTGTGTTTCTTTTGAAGATGCTACTTTTGCTTGTTTAAAGTAGGATCATCAGTTCTGGGCAGCCATGTCCTTTCAGCACACTCTGCTTTAACAAGGATATAATAATTTATCACATAGTTGCAGGTTCCTCTCTGTTGTAGCTGGGTGAGCTGCAGGGTATTGAGTGAAGAATCCTGCACAGGGTGTACTGCCCTGCTGGAGGAGTGCGTCCCATCCATCCACATAATCTGCAGCCTTTCTGCCTCACCTGGAATCTGCAGGGACAGAACAGGGTCGATGAGCATTCTCCCACCCCATGCCCTGAAGTGCCGTTTGCATGTTATGCTGCATTAGCCAAGTGACCATTACTCCTATATGCCTGGGAAGACTTGCACGAATGAGCTTGCAC